GGATGCTATACTAATGTTAACGCTGGTTTAGTGCTGATCTGATCAAAGATATTCATCCGTTCAGACACTATACTAACAATGGAGGTTTATTGTATATGAGCGTCTTCCTGGCAATCAAGGTTTAAATGTGATTACTGGTGTACTGATGGGCAATCTGAAGCTATCTAGGAGGGGCATGAAAACCACGGGAGCGTAAATCACGTATATATATGTGATTTTGCGCACCTCTGCCACCCTGTAGCAGTATTTCTGCTATAGGACAGTCAGGAAGCGGTTAAATGGCTGGCAAATTAAATTTCACTGCCAAACAAAGCAAAAACAGAACACAGACCCTTCCAAATGTCCCCCTAGATGCACAGAAGATGCTTGGAGGTGTCTGTGTGCTGTTTTTTTTTTTCATAAAATATCATTCGTAAGCAATTCTAAACAATTTTTTGCTTTGTAAAAATCAGTGCTGCTGCAGGGCTTTTAGTACATCACAGAGATGCATCCCTTCACTGTTAGGATTAGGAGACCCCCAGGCATGTTATTTAAAGGGAATGGGAATTTTAAATGTTTCACTTTAACCTTTTTAAAAAAAATTACTGCTTCTGGCAGAAAGGAATTTTTCATTTTCTTTTTTTTTACATTGGTACATGTTCCTCAGGGCAGAAACCACCCCATGCCATTTTTCATACCTGCTCGCCTATTAGCCCACAAAATGGACCTTTTTATTTCTTTAGATTATATTCCCTTGATTTCCATGGTGTTTGGCATCTAAAGTTCATCAAACAACATTTGAACCAAACCCAAGGATGTTTTGCTTATCCCTACTGGTCACGTTGTATGATCTAAATACATCCTTGACTGTTTATGTAGTTGTGCTTTGAACTATCTTTATGTACGATTTAAACCAATTAATAAGATTCAACCATAAAAGTGCAAAGGTACTTAGCAAAGTTTACCTGGTCTATGGCTTTATACAGAGTAGTCCAACTGGTTGCCATGCAAGCCTGCTCTAGATATTGTCTGCTGCAGTCTTAGTAAATTCCCCCCATACTAACTTATGTTATCGTCCAACACCTTTCATGCAATGAAAAGCTTCAAACCAGTGCTGTGCTCAATACCTGTGTTTTTTAAAACTAATTTAGTGTTATCTGAGGGACAAGTCTTGATACTACATTCTCCATTCCCACCCCCATTAACAATGAGGGTCAGGGGCACCTATGTAAAAAAAACATTGATTGTGCTACATATGTTACCTGTCACATGCACTGGAGTAAGAAGAATAAGTCACAAATATTGTACAGTGGCTGGGCTTCTTAAGTAGTTTGGTTCTGCAATATAACAAGGAGGGATTATGCAGGTTTTATCTTGAAATAAACATTGGAGTGTTTATTTAAAAATTTGATCGACAATAGCCATAATACTGTACAGTGGCTGGACAGTATGTAGGAATCTTGGTAAGGCTACAGCATAAAAAGGAAAGATGAGGTAGGTTTTTTATATATACGTAATTTTGCATTGTCATTGGTTCCCTGACTTGTCAATCAGTGGGTCTCGGCCAGTGATTCATGTCCAGAACCCACCGAACATTGAAGCTAGAGATAGGGGAGTAATTTGTGTTGCTAAACAACACAAATCTCTCTGCTGACAGCGGGGATGTGACAGTTTTTGTCTTCCTGCTTTGCAGGATTATAATTATATAAATGAAAATTTTGTACAGGGTTGCGTGACAGTGAAATTGTCAGTTAAAATAGCGCAACGCCATATAGCAAAAAATGGCCTGTCATGAAGGTGGGTAAATCTTCTTGAGGGCAAGTGCTTTATCTTGTTCAAAATATAAATGCAAGAATAATACAAACACCTTCAAAATTATACTTTTAGAGAATAGACACCCCAAAGTGATCTCATTTTACTCCACAATTGTTTTGGAAATGAAGAAAAATTCCAGTACCAAGGGGTTTAAACACAGAGCTTAAAAATGGTGTACTAGAAACCTTAATATATGGGTTATACACAGAGGAAGGAGGAAGTGAAGGTTAATATAGTGGTCACAAATAGTGGCAGGATGTATTTGAAGAGGCTAGTGTTCAGCTGAGCAGAGTAAGGGAGGTTAGGGGTTTAATATACAGGTCAATAGAGACAGCATTGAAGATAGTATGTGTTGGAGAGGAGGAAGGCATGAACATGTAAAAAAAATCCCTGTGTTACTGAAACAGAATGGAGCTGGTGATCCATTAATTCTGAGCCCATTCTTAAGTTCTATTCCCACTCCTTTTCTTTTTGTAAGGGGAATGGGAGGGAATAGCACTGTAAATAATACCATTGCTGGCTGTGATGACCAGCCCGTCGGACTGGCTCAGTATAGTGTCTATGTGTGCTAAGCTGTCTAATAACAGCTTGGAACACAGTGATCAATGGGCATATTGGCCACCCAATGGCTATTTATTCAGTGACATTTGTAAACTGCATTGGGTAAATAAAGAGCCACCGATCTGTTGTTGAAAAACATACCCCAGTAGAAAAATCATTAAAGCAGGGTCCATCCCTTGCTCTGTAGGAATTTTTCTGTGGACTTACAGTGTTTGGGAAACACCAACACACATCACCCAACAATGTTGCATCTACTCTGCAGGATTGTTTTGCTTCTTTTATGGTGTTTGGACATCACCAACACCCAGGACCCAATATTTTTGTCACCATTTGTCGGTAGCACTAACTGTTCATGTGATGGTAGCACAAAATATTGGCCAGAGTCGATCTTGTCCTCTGCAAGAATTTTCATCTTCAGTTATGATTCTTTGTCTCTATGTGAAATACACTAAACATAATTTTTAAAGAACTTCCTTTACAGATCTAGTAATTGTTACATTTTTGGCAAAGGTAAACAGTGCATTGGCCTCACTCTTTAAAGTAATGTTGCCTAGCACTAACAGTGACACCATACAGTATATGAAAACCGTCTGGTCTCACTCTTTACCTCCCTTAACCACTTCCCATCCCTTAGGTCTTTATATGGTCTAATACCTTTGAGCACCAGTGCATCCTGTTACCTGTGATTCCGTTGCTGATCTGATCTGTTATTGACCCAGCCTGAATGCTACCTGTACTGACCCCTGCTCTGCCCTTTGACTATTCTTCTGCCTGCTGTTTATGCTTACTCTGCCTGCTAGTTGCCAACTCGGACCATCTGACCTTGCCTTACTCTGCTCCTGCACCTGAACCGGGTTATGGTTGCCAGTATCCAGCTCCTGCACTTCTGCCTGTGTGCCATCTACCACTCTGCTCCTGCACCTCTGCCAGAGTGTCATCTGCCAAGCTGTTCCTGTACTTCTGCCAGCTGCTCCTGCATTTCTGCTAGTGTTCCATCCACCAGCTGCTCCTGCATTCCTGACGCACATCAACATCCATCTGCAGAAGTCCTACCAGGCACTCGTGCACCTCTGTGCTCTGGCGCTCCCTATTACTCTACAGGGCCCCTGAGCCAGAGCTGTAAGGGAAGCCCTCCTCTGCACTTCAAGTTTTACCACCAGGTACATTACAAGGGGAAACCTCTTGATGACATTGTTTTTTAGTGAATGCCAATTAAAAAAAAACGCTGTGTGGTATCTTACCGCATACTTGGATGCAGTAAGATGCGGTTTGTGAATTGTCCCCTCTGTCTCTTTTGAGAGAAGACCTGCAACAATTCAATGTTGACATGCTGCAGCTCATGACTGTGGTCCAAGAACAAATAATCACAATGTTTTCAGAAAAATATGCAAGTATGCATGCAGTAGACTTCCATATTTGTAGCACGTTTTATGAAACATTGCAACAGAAAAACATATTTTTCAGGAATGTTTTTCAAGACCAGTAACGTTTAGTATGTGAAGAAGGCAGTGCCAAAGAATATTTCCCCTTCAGCGCCCCTCCTCTGCCCCCAATTTTATTGCCTCCCCCAACTCCTCTTCCCTCACATTGTCCCATCAAGAACCCCCCAACAAGTATTTGTTTTTGGTTAAGCTTTATTTTTAGTTTATTTTTGTCAAAATTGTTCTCTGTTTTATATGTACAGTAAATAAACCTTTTAACACATTTCCTTAAAGCCAGCCATAGATGGATCAAATCTCAGCTGGTTCAGCAGGGACTGGCAAAGAAGAAATCCATCTATGGGCATGCTGGTTCTACCCAAGTTGATCCATTGATCTTCTTCAATACAACCGCCCTGTCATATGTTCTGCATGCGATTACTGCCAGTAGTTGGAGCATCCAGGAGTAATCATTGTCTTCGGCTATCAGGGAAGGCAGAACAAAATAGCACTGTGGGAGTGATTCCACCATCAACACTTGTTCAGTGTTGATGAGAAAATCAAGAGATTTGCTTTCTTGTAGCTCATGGTTGCAGTAAACAAAATCACATCATCTCTGGCTTGCCTAAGTAAACTTTAACTAAAGAGAATAATGGGATTGATTTACCAAATCTGTAAAGCATGTTCACTTTCAAAGAAAATTTTGACTTATCTCAGTGAAAGAGGGAAACAAAGTAAATATTGACTTTGCAAAGATTACCCAACTGTGTTTATGGAAAGGTTAACCACTTACCTACCCCCCCCCCCCCCCCACTCCTGACCAGTCAATTTTTTGCGTTACGGCGCTGCCATTACTTTAACTGACAATTGCGTAGAACCCAAATTACATTTACATTTTTTTCCCACAAATAGAGCTTTCTTTTGGTGGTAAATGATCATCTGTACATTTTTAAATTTTTGCTCTATAAATAAAAAAAACGACAATTTTGAGAAACAAAATCAATATTTTTGATTTTTTGCTATTAAACATGTCCAGTAAAAAAAATTTAAAAATCACATTTTGTCATAAATTTAGGCCAAAATGTATTCTGCTACATGTCTTCACTAAAAGAAATCCCAATACATGTAAATTAATTGGTTTACGTGAAAGTTATAGCGTCTACAAATGGCAGCACACAATTTTTTCATTTATTTTTTATTTTACTAGTAATGGCAGCAATCAGTGACTTATAGCGGGACTGCGGTGGGCATTCTGACACTGGAGGGAACTGACTTAGTGTCACTGGCATCCCCAGTGACACAAATACAGTGATTAGTGCTAATAAAAAGCACTGACACTGTACTAATGGCACTGGGCATGAAGAGGTTAACATCTGGGGCGATCACAGGGTTAACTGTGTGCTGTTTCACTATGGGGGCTGTGTGTGTGCTTAACTGTAAGCAATCTGCTTTGTATGGCTCTGCTCTGCACAACCATACAAAGCAGTGTGCAAGAGCTGACAGGGAAGAGATCTGTATTATTTACAGGTCTCTTCCCCATCGGAGATACTCGGCGATCACCGGGTGCTGGCAAATAATCATCATCTGGGACACGCTGATTGACAGTCGAGGCCGCGAACGGTGGCACAGGTAGGGCCCCTACCAGGAACTGCAAAATCATGTGATATATATGTGATTTTGTGCACCCGTGCCACCCTGTTGCAGTATTTCTGCAAATCTGGTTAGCAATCAGAATTCGTGCTACCACACTACTAGATGATTGAAGTCAGCAAAACCTCCCCTTATTCACTAAGCCAACATAAATCATCTTGCACATGATTGGGTATTCTTTGCAAAGTTAATTAGAACATTTTCATCTCATTCACCAAGATAAAGACAACTTTACAAAGTAAATATGCTGGATGATTTAAATCAGCATAGCTTCACCTTACTGGTGAAGCTAAGTACAAATTCACTTTGCACTGTAAGCATGCGCTACTCCTGTAGTTATAGTTGAAGTGAAATCATATAAACCTTGTAGAAAAGTTTTAATTCAAAACGGAATTATCATTTTGCAAAGAAAACATGCTCTACTCCTTTAATAAATCAACTCTTCTGTTTAAAAAAAAGGTAAAGTACACAAAAAAAAATACAAGGAAAGCAACGGACAAGTGATTCTTTTGAATACATATATATATATATATATATATATATATATATATATATATATATATATATATATATATTGGTCATTTCAACAAGAGGAGGGGCAGAGAAGAAAGGATTAAACATCCTTTTTGCACAGTGCAGATGATTAACCCCTTAGGTTCCGCAGTGAGTATAACAAGCATGCTTTACTGCATATACAGACTGATTTTACTGTTGTGGGTTTAGTAACACATTAATGCTGAACTCAAGAGACTAACATCTATTTTTCTGTAAGTTCCTGTTTCTGGAGACAGCCAGCATGTTTATTTTGTGATATCCAAGTGCCGGGCAGCTTTACCCAAAAATGACGTGCATGCACAGCGGGAATGACACATGCGCATCAATTCTTAAGCCGTGCGTGCGGCTAAGCCGCACTCCTATGATTTATGGGGGAGTGTAGAGGTGGAAGGAGAGTCAGTGATGTCACAACTCCACCTCCCAAGCTCCGGCCCATGGAAATGCCCACGGACTGGAGCAGGGGCGGACTGACAACTCATGGGGCCCCCCGGGCAATAGGGGATCATGGGGCCCGTGTCCTTGCCCACACTCAAAAAGCCTATAAAAAAAGGTACCAGGGGCATTTCATGGGGTCCCCTATTGACCCCGGGCCCTCGGGCAGTGCCCGAGTGCTCAAATGGTCAGTCCACCCCTGGACCGGAGACTTTCACTGGACCATGGCAGGCGATGACTATGCAAAATGTAGGTATAGATTTTGCAATTTTATAAACGGAAGTATGAACAGGTCCATTTCTTTTACAATTGATGAGGATGGGGTATACAACCACTTTTAATAATTTCTATTCCCATTTTGGCTGTCTAAATAAGGATGTGTTGGTCAAACTGCCCTCATCTCCAGGGGACATGTCCCTTGCAGTATCCATCCGAGATTGGAGGTGGATTTAGCAGGGATCAAATGTGAAAAAGGCAGTTGGGCCTGATCATATCACATATTCTGAAGGGTTGTACCTCTCAGTTAGCCCAAGTTCTTACAGACCTTTTTATTATTTTGCTCCAGAAGGAGACTGTCCCCACGTGTTTAAAGTTGTCAAAAATTGTGCCTGTGCTTAAGAAACCTTTTGCGTCCAATTTTGATGATTATTATCCTGTGGCACTTACACCAATTACAGGCGTACCTCGGTTTATGAATTTAATGCATTCTGCGGGACTTTTCATATTGTGAAAAATTTGTAAACCGAAACATGGTTTCCCATAGGAATGCACTGAAAACCAATTATTCCGTTCCAGAGGTCAGAAAAAAGTAAAAAGAAAGTCTTTTATCTGTTCAAAACTCTTTATAAAGTGCACTTTAAAGGCATAAATACTGTGCAGGGACATGATTAAAAATGAATTTGGAAATGCATTGAAAACCAATTAATCCATTCCGGAGGTCAAAAAAAAGTAAAAAAAAGTCTTATCTGTTCAATATTCTTTATAAAGTGCACTTTAAAGGCATAAATACTGTACAGGGACATGATTAAAAAATAAATTGTAAATGCTTTGAAAAGCAATTAATCTGTTCATATAGCGAAAAAAAAATCGTAAACCGAGGCATTATTTTCAATGGAATTTCATTTGTAAACTGAAAATTACGTTAACCAAGGCGTTCGTAAACCGAGGTACATCTGTATAATGAAATGCTTTAAAAAAATCTTGGTTTTGTAGCATATTAAATGAAGCATGCCAGTAGGGTTAGATCCCTCTCAGTATTTTGGTCAAACAGGTCAACCAAGGAAGGGATTCCTATAGCTCTTCATACTTCCCTTACTCACCTTGAGGGAAAAAATAGTTATATCAAATTGCTGTTTGTGGACTTGAAGTGGTTATAAACCCTTACCTATACCCAGTGAAGTGGCTAGCCTCAGGTGATACACAGGGATTAATTAAAAGTTGTACCTGTTTATTTGCAGCCATTTGTCCTGTAAAACTCAGAGATGATTTTTCACAGACTCACAAACTGGGGGAGGGTGGGGGGGGGGGGGGTTGTTAGCTGCAGTTACAAAACCTCTGAGAGCTGATTGGAGGGTAGTAACCTATTCCACTTTACATAGCACACAGGGACAGTGCTGAGGCTGTCTGTTAGGAAACTAAGACAGCTAATGCTAATTCTTCTGCAGCTCAAGCAAATTCTTCTTCAGCTAATGCTAATTCTCATGAAGCTACTGCTCATTCTCATGCAGCTAATGCTCCTGCACATGTACCAGCACACAGACAAGCCCAGGCTAATATCCAGTGTGCACTGGCGCGCATGTCTTCCCACATTGGTGCCAAGATGCCTATTTTAAGGAGACTCTGTTGTATACTAATTGCTGGATGTTCTCCAGCTTCCTGTGACCCATGTTCCTGCTTGTACTAACTGATCTTCCGTTTCTGACCCCGGCTTGCTCTTGACCTTGCTCTGTGAATTCTGGTTTCTGACCTCAGTTTGCCTTTGACTATTCCCTGCCTGATCTCCTGGTGCTGACCTCAGCTTGCTACTGGACCTCGCTCTGCTTGCTAACCTGGTACCAACCCCAGCCTGCCTCCTAACCATGTTGCTGTGTCCCTGTGTATGACTCTTGCTCACCTTGACTACATTCCTGACCATGGCAGTCACCTGTTACCAAGTTAAGGGCACCTGTGCTTCTTTGAGCCTTGTACCTCTGTCACCACATTCAGGGGTGCTTGGACCAGAGCCGCAAGGGAAGCCCTCTCATCAACTTAGCCTTCAACCAAGGTACATCACACTGTCAATCACGAATTGTGTGCTAGGGATCCCTCCCCTTTCACGTTTTTAGCTCTTGGTGTCAGGAAAATGTCAGCAGTGACTTATGCTGACAGAGGAACTAGACAGCAGAGAGAAATGACATTTAGATAGATAGATAATATTTAGTGCTTAGTGCTAGAGGCAAGTGATGTGTTTACAACCACTTTAAGTTCTGCTTTTAATGCTATGGGGTCTTCAATCTGCAATTGGATTTTGGATTTTTTATAGACCACAGGTAGTCAAAATTGGTGAGCAGTTTTCCTATTATTATGTTATTTTTATGTACTGGTACTCCACGGGGATGTGTCTTAAGCCCACTATAATATACCTCTGATTGTGCTGCTCATTATGAGGACATCATGTCATTAAATTTACAGATAACACTAGTATTGTAGGCAGGATTACAAATAATGATGAGGTTCTATATTGGGAAGAAATAGATAATTTGTGGAGATGGTGCAACGAAAATGATCTGCAGTTAAATCTGATTAAAACTAAAGAGATGATCATAGTATTTAGAAGGAAGAGGATTGGGGGCATAACCCAATGGTTATAGATGGAGAGTAGGCTGAGATGGTGAGTAGTTTTAGGTTTTTACAATAATTACACATGAACTTTCATGGTCTGACTCTGCACATGTTTGGTGGGAAAAGCACAGCAGTGATTGTACTTTCTGAAGAGACTAAAGAAAGGTGAGTTGCAACAAGAAATACTGCTTGGGGAGTGCATGTGCACTGCTCAGGATTTTAGTGTGGTACAGAGGGTAATTAAGACTACTCAAAATACTATAGGTACTGAGTTGCTGGGTATTAAGGAAATTGAGGAGCAAAGATGACATCGTAGGGCACACAACATTTTAAAAGACATTGAATATTTTGAGATGCTAGTATTGGGAAAGTGTTATAAAAGCATAGGAACAGTGAGGCTTGTAAAAATAGATTGAAAAATATTTTTTCTCCTCAGGCGGTGTGACTTTTAGATTAAGTAAGTTAAATAGTTAAGATAAGGTGATGTGATTTATTTTTAGTGATATATATATATATATATATGTGTGTGTGTGTGTGTGTGTGTGTGTGTGTGTGTGTGTGTGTGTGTGTGTGTGTGTTTTGAAGCATGCAGCTGTTTATTGATTTCCACAGTGCAATATATAATACTCATTAAATTTACATTTTGTAAAACAGCCCTCATTTCTTACACAGCCAAAATTGTCAGATTAGACATTTTTTTTTTGCTTGCCAGAGAAAAACAACCGTGTGTTGAAAGTGACAACACACAACATGTACACATGGTGTTTGTTTAGCCCCTCTGAACTCCTTTTCTCCTGATTTGAGAAAAGCTGCTTTATAAAACGTGTCCAAAGCACCATTTTGAACATGCATTTTAGGCACGTCAAGCATTCTGCTCTTTGGCTCCTCACCTGAATTTGAATTTGATGGGTTTTTTTTTCAGCCTGTAAATGCTCCTCCTCTAAAGCTAATTACCAAATGTTTAGACCTCTGGATAGATTAGAGGGAGAGATCACACAATGGATGAATGAGCAATCTCCTCCAGTCACACGGTCAGCCAACTGGGTTAATGGATGGATGTGTGGAAAGTGAGCCTCCGCTAGTACTGCCAGTACTTGCTGCTTAGGCTGCCATCTCAAACTGAGTCAGACTGATACTCCAG